TTATAGATTTTTGTTTATTGTTTTTAATAGCTTGTCGTTGAATAATAAATAAATACGAAAAAAAGATTATTTATGTGTATGTTTTAGAAAATAATTAAAAATGGGAAATAGCAGTAGCACACATACGACAAAAGAAAATCAAATTGAACCATGCATCTTATATAATTTAAAATGTCCCTTCTGTAATCAAAAAACATGTTGCATTGAAATGTAAGTTATTCGTATAATTGAGCTAACAAAAGAATTGCGGTTTTGCATTGAAATCGAAAGAAATATAATTAATCAATATATATTAATAAATTAGTTGAGTTTAATACGTGTATTCTTCATCCATTTCAAATATTTATATCAAATATTAAATATATTTTTAGGAACCATTTTCACAACACTGGAGGAATTAAATGCAATTTATGTACAGGCAGCATTTACATTACAATTAATTCTTTGACCACTCCGATGGAAGTCTATTTAAAATGCGAAGAACTAGTTTCGATGCGCTACATTATTAAAAATCATTAAAGAAGATCACATGAAGAAACAATGGGTTTTGAAAAGAAGTTTCATCCAAGTTTCATCCATTTTCAATTCGGTTTGTTCGATATGTAATGATTTAAATTATTTTTAACATATATGAGTTTAATAATGTTTTTGTGTTTACGTAAATTATACTACACTTATGCATTATGATACTTTTTATAGCATTTTTGCACACTTGTTTTGTTTCTACATTTGCCACTCATTTACTCAAATTCTAACTCAGAAAAAATTAAATATTTTAATGTAGTATAGACATATATCATTTTATGAATTCACTATTAAATTCACTATTAAATTTTAAATTAAATAGTATTAGTATTAAGATAATAACGGTTATAATTGTATTAAGATAAAAACTATGATTAAATTTATGTTATTACTCACGAAGAGGCCTATTATGAGATGTGTAAAAAAATTCGATTTATTGAGTCTATATAGACGAAAATGTTTTCTGAAATTGAGCAAACATATTTATTTTATATATTTTTTGCTATACTACTGAAAATGATCAAATCTTGTAAGAGTTAGACACATCGTTATCTCACTTCAATTCTGTGTTATCTACTATCGACGATTTTTTTCTAATAAATAAAAATTGTAAAAGTATATAATTTTACATTTAATTTTATTCCAATCATGCAAAAGTATGAAAATTCAATCATGAAATAATTCATTATTTTCAATAATTTTACACGTAACATTTTTTGTATTTGTATTTGTATCTTGTAATTCGCGTGGTAGAAAGAACAATGCTTGCAATGCATTTAATTCGACAAATGTTTCGAAACATTTTTTGATTGGTTGATTCATATATTTCCTTATTATGATTGGTTCAAACGTGTCAATCTAACCTGTCGAAGCCTTTATGAGACGAAATGGCTCACATTCGATATAACAATTCTGGAACTAGATGTCGGAGTAATCGTAATAAAATAATTACAAAAAGTGTAGCTGTAAATCGAATAGATCACTTTCTTGTAAAATTGTTACGATAAATATTTGAAGCGGTCTGTATAATAAATCATTGTAAAGCGTACAATTTAGACGACAAATTACGAAATTAGGTAATATACGAGAAAATAATTTCACTTTTTCGTTTAGAAAAATGTACGTAAATGCACTTTCATGTTTCTTGTGTTGGTCGCCCTGTGAACGCGATATGTCGGAGCTCGTTGCCGCTCTTCCGGTTCACGTCGTTCTTTCAGACGAGTAAAATGGCTGATCAGGTATGTGCTTGTAACCTCGAGCGTAAATAAATGGATTTTCGTGCGTCACGGTGATATTTTGTGAAAACCGTAATGTGTTTTCGTGATGATTAGCATATCACGAATAATGGCGCGCGAAAAGCGGGCATATAAGTTGACATGTGTTCTAAACGATTGCGGTTAGAATTGTCAGCGTAGCACGTGGTTAGGTCGCCTGCGTGAATCTAGATAGAATATAAGGATATATCTGTGACGCGTGATTTAAATGATTTCGTTTGTTACAGAGTGAGCGTGCGTTTCAGAAGCAACCCACGATCTTTCTTAACCGTAAGAAAGGTCTGGGCCCGAAGCGGAGGAAGCCTATGAGGTATAGCCGCAATGTCGGGCTTGGTTTCAAGACTCCTCGCGAAGTGAGTTCAGATACCTTCCAATTGGAAATTATTGTTTTGGCAATGAATATTTAGCTTGTTGGATATTCTCTGAAAAAGCAAATTCGTACAGTTAAATTATTTTGTGTTTGTACACAAAATATATATAAATGATTTTAAAAAATCTTCCTCAAAATTAAAGATAGAGTATATTTCTGAATTAATTAACGATATTGATAATAATAATCAGCTTGTAATTTTGTAATATTCTTTATTTTTATTATGAACATACAAGAGTATTCGATGATGATAAATAACGACGGTCTTCTGAAGATATCTTGAAGATTCTATTTTTCTCACAATCTGAATGTTTTCATATTTATTTCTTAATAATGAAAAGTATGTAGAGTGATTAATGTATTTTACTAATTTAATTTTTATAGGCTCTTGAGGGAACCTACATCGATAAGAAATGTCCATTCACTGGCAATGTATCGATCAGAGGACGTATTCTCACTGGCGTTGTACAAAAGATGAAAATGCAACGTACTATAGTTATTCGCAGGGATTATTTGCATTATATTAGAAAATATAACAGGTTTGAGAAGCGTCACCGTAATATGAGCGTTCATCTTAGTCCTTGCTTCAGGTATATATATATATATATATATAGAAAAATAAAATAATTTAATAAAATAAATAATTTATTTATTCTAGAAATATCAAATTTTTGCTAACTTCCATTTTTATGATGAGATATCACGATGGTCTACTGATAAATATTTGATGATTAATTATATATCTGAATAACAATATAATATTTTAGAAATGATTAAACAATTGATTATCGTTTATTATATTTATGCATCTCATTATATTTTAGAGATGTAGAAATTGGTGATGTGGTCACTATTGGAGAATGCAGACCTTTAAGCAAGACAGTAAGATTTAATGTATTAAAAGTTTCGAAAGGAACAGGATCAAAGAAGAGTTTCAAGAAATTCTAAACATCTACCTTTTCAACAATGGTTTGTATCATTATTATTATTATAAAATTATTATTCTTTTGTAAATTAATATTGTTATATTAATATAGAAATCAAATGATGATATAAATACGACGGTCTTCTGAAAATATATTGAAGAATTATGTATTTTCACACACTGAACATTTAATTTTTTAAAGTAGATTTTTAAAATAGTGAATACAGAATTACTAACAGCTCATGTATTTTTATTGGTAATTTTTACAGAATCGTTATTGGCAGATTTCAAAAGAATTAAGGAAAAATTACAAAACTACGCAGTCAGAGATGGTTGTATAATTTTGTAACTGTCGTATTCGAAATTTGTCAAAAACAATAAAATGATTTCTTTAAAAATCCTGTTTACAATTATTTTCATGTTTTAATAACACAAATCCACACAATTCCATAAATTTGAGCATAATAATAATTTGAGCATGGATCAAAAATTTTACCTTTTATATATTATCCTCTCAATAGAGGGAAAGTATTAAAAAAAAATTAAATATTTAAAAAAGAAATTAAATAATGTATTTGATTAAAAAAAATATATAAATTCCAATTATAAGAACAATTACAAGAAATTTTTCTAATACTTAACATAAACATTAAATTAAAAATCATTAACAACATATTGCTCGATTCTTGAAAATATATTTCAGCAATTTTCAACAAGAAATATTAAATATATAAAAATTATTTACATAGTTTGGCGAATATTATTGTCATAAATTATAAAAATACAATTTAATTTTTAAAGAGTAGACCTGATATGTCATATTCGTGTTGAGATAGAAATGATATTACAACTAGATGCATAGTAAAACTTTATCCTGTATAATAATTATATAATGTAAATTTAATGTAAACAAAAATTTACATTAAAAATTTTTTAATTATATTCAGAAAATAGAGATTCATTTTATAACATTTAGATCAACAATAGAGAATTCAATTTATAAAGGCACCAGTATTTAAATGTTTTTTATATTATTTTTTTTAGTATCTCCAGTCATATTTTTATTAAATCAATTTTATCAAAAATGTATCACAATTATGTTTGACATAACAACCTAATAACTTTTCTAGATGAAAAGTAGTAATATTCTAATATATTTGATTCCGTTGAATGTTATGTTAGGTAATAATTCTAATAATTCTATAAGTTAATAATAATTATATCTTTGATTTAAAAAAATCTCACTCAATTTTTACTATATTGTTTTTTCCTATAATATATATAATATATAAAATATGATAACATAAAAGCACGCGAGTTCAATTTTTCATTGTCAACTTAGAAATAATGTATATCTATGTAGAAAATTTTTTTATATCTATAGCTTAGTCTCTAATATATATGTTATATGCAAAATATCAATTACTTACAGTTACATTTGCTTTATTTGAATATTCTGCTATATAAAGTATATATATAATAGGACCTGCAAAACTTAATAGCAACGAGAACACAAGAAGTTGTGTCCAAGATAATCCCCAATTATCACCAGAACATTTAAATATATCTGTTTCACAAGTTTCAACTCTTTCTGTACTTTCAGTCTCATTAAGCAAAGTGTCATGTTCTGTATGAGAAATTTCGGGAATATTGGCACTGTTGTAAGATGACAAAGGTTCACATACTGAATTTAATATGATAGTATTAATTTCAGTATTCGAGCATTCTGTGCTTGTCGATGCAGTACCCAGATCTATTAACTGTTCTTCTTGTTTTGTGGATGTTTCTTCTTGACATTGCTCAGATGTAGTATTAACATTATCTTGATTCTCAGATGATATCTCGGTTAAAATAGAGAATGGTTGTACAGGAACCTTAATATAAGGTTTAGCATATATCTCGTTCTCTTTGTCGATTTTATTAATTCGTTTCAATTCAGATATCTAAAATTACGAATAAAAGTAAGCATAAAGATACGAATGCATATCTTTATGCCATGCATATTGCATTTTTCTACTCACTGTACATCTGTATCGAAGAGCTAATGCCTGCAGAGTATCCTCAGGTTTGATTTGTACATTGATCACCTCAATTTTATGATAACGTAATGATACAGATTTAATAGTTTGTAAAGAGATGCCATCCTCTTCTGTACTACTTTCGTCATCCGAATGTAGGAATATGTAATACGGAGAGCTTTCTCTTCCACGCAGATGGATCATCTGCCTGAAGATTTTTTATTGTTAGACTACCTATCTTTTCATTTATACTTGATTTAATAAAATGTTTATAAGTTATTTATAAGATATTTTTCATTATTTATAAATTGAAATTAATTATATTTTCAAATTAATTTTATATTTATTGTTATTTGTTCGTAATTTTATGTCAAAAAAATTATATGACCAATGACAGACTGGAATTCTAGAATTAACCTCGAAAGTTACCTAACGCCTTTTTGTTCTTCGAACATCGCATTCACTAATTTTTGAGGCATAATGCGATCATGTTTAGAGTAAATTAATCCTTCCAATGAGAATGTTTACTCGCGTATCGCATTCGCACGAGTATTCAGAAAAAAATAATGTTACAGTTGACAGATGGAGATCATGTCGCTCCTGGGCAAGAGGCTTGAGGAAGCTTGGAGTTTGGGTAAACTCACTGGTTAGGTTAGAATGACGAATTTTACTGGAGATATGAACGAACGCGCGATGCATTTTTAGCAATCGTAAAAAAAAATCGTAATTCGAGATGATGCAATTTGAGGAAGAGGGCGAAACGTTGAAGGACAAATCTCGATGCGCTAATATCCGTGCTGATCTAAAAATGTGTTTGCTAAAAAGTGATTGTTGTAAGATCGTAAGTAAGCACGAAATTAACCTAGTTGTGTATTATCTTTATAATTTTATCTGATATCATTGTTTCGTTTTTCTCGAGTGTAATAATTTTATGTACATGTGTATACACATCAAATAATAATAAAACTAAGATTCCAAAATTTCTAAAAATTTTCAATTCCAATTTTTCAAATTAATTCTTGAAGATATTTCTATCAATATACATTAAATTTAATATCGGTTTAACTTATTTTTTATCTCTTTAATTTCAAGAATTAGAAAGAAAAAAAGTAAATTAAATTGAGATTTGAATTAATAGATATTGCTAGAAACGGCTATTAGATATATTTAAGAGAATATATAAATATGTATATATAAAAAAAATTTAAAATTTTTTTGACAGTACAAACGCACTCCCAAAGAATGTCTTAGGATAAAGGATGGTACAGTTCCTGATGAATGCTTTGCCTTGCGTCAGACATTCTTTGATTGCAAGCATTCTATAGTAAGTATAAATGGACTTATGCGTAGTAAATTATTAATGTTGAAAAAAGGAAATATATATTTTTTCTAGAATATTCATAGTATAAAAATTTATTAATATATTCTTTTTTTTATATTTTTACAGATGGATGGTAGACGGCGTTTTAAGGGTCCAAAAGGATATTAAATGTCAAAATATTTATTTTGTATATATCTATATATATATAATATAAATATAATTTATGTTGATATAAATTTTTTATTCATTTTTCAATGAAAAAAATTTAGGAAAGTGATAAGGAAGAAAAAATAAATCATTTAATGTTAGAAGTAATTTATTGTTATTCGTTGTACACGATTTAATAAATCTATCATATTTGTGAAGTAACAATGCACTATACAATCCATCACATTTATCCTGATATAACATCTAAAGAAACTCCTATTCTCTTGTGAGATCTGTTGCCAAACATAACTGATAAATATGATGTTTTGTATGATTGCAAAGTTACATTGAAGAGGCTTACTGCTCTATGTAGAGCAAAAATTCTTTTTGTAGATAAAAGTTATTCTTCTTGAAGAACGAAAGCGATATTTTAATCTTAAATTGATAAAAACTTGTTTATGTTAATTTCTTTCCAATTTCATAATGATAAACAATGAAACTGCACTTATGATCGCGAAAAATGATAAAAAAGTATTTTTAATAGTTAAATCGGAATAAAACAGAAGCTTTTGAATGTAATGTTTGGTTTAAAAGCTAATTTGTCAAAGGGTAGTTGTAAAGTGTCCAGTCTTCCTTAAAATAATATTATATTGAAATTTGTCAATCAAAAATTATTTCAGTATGACAGTTGTATAATGAGAAGAAAGAGATGCGAATATAATAGCCAAATATTTTATTAACATATTTTAATAATCACTATTTTTTTTTAAGGTACATATCATAGACTGGACAATATTGGCTGGTTGCGTTTACCATATTTTTATTATTCAATATTGCGCTTGTTTATTGCGCTGAATCGCACACAGAGATGCGTGTATCGAACATGATACGCGTATAATCACAGTAAAATTGCGAATTTTCTCAACTTTTCCCACTTTTCCTTTTTATTAAGTTAAGTTATTTTGTTCCACTTTGTGTGTTTAGCGAGTATACGATTCCGACGTATGATAAAGTACGCCGTACACAGGAGTATTTTATTACAAATCTACTGGGTGGTGATCACGCCTGCGTAATCACCCTATCTATTGTCTGTATGCAACAAGCGTATATTGGCTATACGAATTTTTTTTGTACTACAATGCCAACTTACGCTACTCTTTCACTCTCTATAATGGCTATAGGCACCTAAAAATGAGATTTACAAGCTTTTTCCGCGCATGCCGTTGGTCTATTCTCATCCTCTCTTTTGGAAAAAATCTTTGAAATGTATGTAGATAAAATACAAATTCTTGGGCTTATTAATTTAAATAAAATTTGATTCTGAATTTAAATTTATTTTTTTGTGATTACATATTTTTTTTAAATGAAGCTCCGCAGAAAGAATGATTAGATTATTAAGAAAACATTATTACATTGTATATAATATATTTACATTTATATTTTATTTATCTATTTCTTTAAATATGAGGTATTATTTGCGAAATAAAATTAAATTTCATAAAAATTTCATAAAAGTTTCATTTTACAAAATGAAAAGTGAGAATAATAGAGACAGAAATAAAATGCATTTTATTAAAATTTCTATTGTTTAAGAATATAATTTACCTACATACATGACAGAGCTGCTAAATAGAATTTCGCGAGCGTCAAATCCGCATAAACGGATATATAATATCAAATATGAAGATCGATAAAAGACTTGAAGTTACGTTGGCCTTCGAAGTTTCACTACCATGTGCCTAAGTCACCTAAATTGATTTCAAGAGTAGCATTTTTCAAGAGTAAGTTTCAAGAAGAGTTTCCCATTGTGATATATACGCCGCTGATTCAAATATCACAGTTTATCGAGTATGATATGTAGTTAGCGATTATTCGATAGTTATCAATATATAGTAATAAAGTATGTTGCGTATATCGTTATGCTTGTGTCTCGCGATGCCCATAGGATGACCAAACGTCTTTAATCGGCAACACATCGTGGCATCGTTATCTTTTCCATGTCGGCACATGGAGAATGTTCCTATTTCACAGAAAGTTAAATATCCTTAGCGCTTCAGTCCTTACAAAAATCCTTTCTGACATCCATTTTATATTATTTTATATTACGTATATATTACAGTACTTTCTGCGGCCTATGTATCAATTTTATTGCTATTCATTCCTATTCATTTCATTTCACTGCCGTTTCGTTCGGTTGACCCTACTTGGGCAACGCTCGTAATTTGCGCAATGAACAAGATAGTAAAGTCGAAAAATACAAATAGATCCAGTTGCATATCTAATGCAGGCATGCAGGCCGTTTCATCGATCATCGACGAGACTCGTTCTAAAGCGTATACGAAGTTGCGCTTCTTATAATAGGTAGTACGATAAGAAATCACAGTGTCTCATTCGTTAACGACGTTTGCGACGACATATTTCTCGATTCCTGCAAACCCAGTATCGCGTCTTGTTTGCCGTTATGACTTTTTAATTTGCTCCTGCAATTAGAGAATAAGCTCTGATTAAAAATAGAAATATCGATCGATATTATCGGTATTACCGGTGCTCGTATCGCTATTAAAAAACGGTTTCGGAATCGGCGTGTTTATTTAGCTACGAATGAAATTGTAGAGTAAAGCACTGGAATTCGATACGATACCACGTTTCGCTCGGATTTTTCTGCAGGGATATACGTAATGCGAATTCGAAAGGATGCTTCTTGCAGATTCTAGCAGCCGAGTGAGGAATCAGAAGCACACGGAGGGTCTGTAAAGTCCGATGTATCCGCACAGACGAGCGCGAAGTGCCGGCAGAAGTATCGCCGCAGCGGATAGATTGTCTTGCAGCTGCGAGCACTCGCAGATCAATAGGTACATCTTATCGCCCTGCGACATCGATTTGTGCAAGGTGATACGCCTGAGACCCACCGATTTCGGCAGGTATCGATACATCATTCGCGCGCCTGTAACAAGACAATAGCCAATAATAACGCCACGATACATCCCGTTAGAATAAAATAAAAAAAGGTAATTGTTTCTTTATATGTGCAAATATTTATACGAAGTTCGATGTTCGCTTTATACGAAATGTCTACTTCCTAGAAAATGCTTATCTAAAGAGCAAAATTTTTCTTTGTTTCTATCGAAAAATTATTTGTGTAAATAAATTTTTTATTATTTAGGCATTGTTTTGTTTCATTAAAATTATATGCACACACTCTGGAATTCTCAGAGAATATCTTTTTTAAACATTTAAACACTTTCTTGAACATATTAGAGAATCTATAGAAAAATAGGAAATTTTTTAAAGTTCTGTGTTTCAATTTTAATTTTACTCTTAGAAAAAAATTATCGTCAAATCAAATTTTTTATAATTTTGCTTTTATAATATGAACTATCAGCAATCTGCTGATTATCCAAGTTAACAATTAATATGACATACGCATTCATATTTACATATCATGTTTACATATATATTTACATATAACTTGCAAAATTAAAAAAAAAATCTTATGTCTCTATTAAACTAATCAAGCCAGAGAATATATATTCAAATATTAAGCAGCTTCGTTTCATAATTAAAAAATGTGCACAGTATAAATTTATAAAAAAAATTAATTTATTTCAAAATTGCATTTAAAAATTCTATAATTTTTTACTTGAAATTTTGAACAGAAATATCTGAAAAATACGTGAATTCTTAAGAAATCTTTAGAAATTCTTTTACAAGATTTGAGTAAACATTCTGTTATATCGATATTTAATAATGTAGTTTTGAGATTCATCATTCAGCATTGATATTCTAATAGCGTTTACTTAAGTCTTAAGTAAATCTTTTAATCTCAATACACAATACAGAACTATGTGTATGATTTTAATAAATCTAGACAATAAGATTAAGACATATTTTGTATAGTGTTTTAATTACTATTTTTTATTAAAATTAAAATTGATTTATCAAACTCTTACATAATTGTAAAACTATTAAATTAAATTAAGTAAAAAGTTTGAAGAAAATAATGATAAAAGATTTATTATACAAATTATTATATGAGATGTACAAATTATTTATACAAATAATTTGTGCATAAAAGCAAAAAAAATTTTATTTTTTAGATTTTTTAATATTTAAAACATTTATAATGAAATAATTAATCAACCGTCCGTATTTTTATTAAAAATAAGATCTCTTAGTAACATATATATGCAGATCGTATGATAATAATAATATAATAATAATAATTTAGTAGATTCATTAGCATCGCCTAATTCACAAAATAATATACATACAAAATATATGCACATAAGTAACGCTAATGAATCTACAAAACAATATGCAAAATCTGTCTAAAATTAATTTTTAAATTTAAGGAAGAGAATATAAATCTCAATTCTAAAATATGGAACTATGCATATAATTTTAATGAAACAAAACAATGCCTAAATAATAAAAAATTTATTTACACAAATAATTTTTCGATAGAAACAAGAAAAATTTTGTTCTTTAGATAAGCATTTTTAAATATTTAATGACACTTATTTAATGACACTTAACTAAATTGATCAATCATTTGCATTTTTATTAACAATAGGATTTGTTAACTGCATAAGCAGATTGTATATTATTTTGTGAATTCATTAGCCTAATTCATAAAATAATACATATACAACATATATATGTATATATAAATGTAAGCAACACTAATGAGTCTACATAATAATAAATCTACAAAGCGAAATCCGTTTGAAATTAATTTTCATATTCAAGAAAGGAGATATATTATATTTTTTCTTGAAATAAAAATTAATTTCAAACG